GTACTTCTGCATCGGCGAACACGCTAACGCTAGCTGCGCTAGTATAGTCACTAATCAAGCCTGAATGAGAACTCAGCTGCCGGCATATGTTCACAACTACTGTGTCCGCCATTGTCAATCCTGGTTAAGTCCTGGTTTAGGTCCTGTTTTGGCTGTATTTTGTATTTTTGAGTAATTTCCGTCTGCTTGCTAGACCGCTAGTGTTCCCGTGACCACTTTGCGGCTCTCTGACCCGAGAGAGACGGGGGAAACAAACAAGCATGCAAATGGGATTTATCGCGGCCAGAAAAGTTATTGAGCAAATTTTATTTATCGTGCGATTAATTGATTTATTGACTATCGCGACAGGCCTACTCAGACTTACATTTTAATAGCCACATCAAATCAGTAACCATCTAAAAAACATTGCCAGTGATCACATGTGTTTATGTCATCGATCAAAAACATAGTGCCTAAAGCAGACCTGGAGATTTGTATCCATGCATTTGTCTCCAGTAGGTTAGACTACTGCAAAGGCCTGCTCACAGGTCTGTCCAAACAGGCTGTATAACAGCTGCAGTACATTCAAAATGCAGCAGCTCGAGTCCTGACTAGAACCAGGAAGTACGACCACATTAGCTCAGTCCCCAGGTCTCTGCACTGGCTTCCTGTGGCTCAGAGAATAGGCATCTCTGCTTGTTACAAGTCTCTCCATGGCCTCACACCAAAGTACATTAGTGACATGTTAGTGCCATATGTAGAGCTGAAACGATTAATCTAATAACTTGAATAATTCGATTATTATAAATAGTCGAGGAATTTAAGCTGCATCAATGCTTTTTTATACAGTATTTTATTTGCAGCATTTTGCCTTGTTTGCTCCATAGACTTTACTCACGTTTTGCACAGATTCTTTTTGTGTTGCGCAACATGTTTAAGTCACAGATCTTATGTGCCCTGCGCTACAAAGCACCAGTCTGCATAGTCCGCATGCATAGTTTGTAAAACTTTTTTGCGGACAATGCATTGATCTATTATAATATAAATGGAGGACAATGCAGAAGGCACTGGCAAAGACAGGAGAGTTAATAAGAAGCGTCTAAAGTGTGGGAGCACTTCACTCTGAACACTAAACCGGAGTAGTTTGCACACATTGCTAAGTGGAGCAAGCATCTAGCTAGCACCAGTTTGATACTGCCGCACCTGAGGAGGAAGCGTCGAGGGAAGACCCGAGACGAGGTAAGTCAACTTTCATTGTATGGTGGAAGGCACGCGTTGTGAAAGTAAAATGTTGATAATCATGATAACACGGAAGGGTTTTCCCACTCCTGCGAAGAGTCAAATGCTGCCAAAGCGGCATGGTTAAACTATCGATGTAGCCGTTTGTTGCCTACAGATAGCCTTTCATTTGTTAATGCAGTGATAAAGCAGAAAGGTTTATCAGTACCTACACAAGACATGTATTATGAATGTTTTACTTAATTTGACATTCACTACAATCCTAGTGCCAACGGGTATTATACTACTCCACGACAGTTATTTGAACTCCGTACAAAATATGCCTGTGTGAACACTGTGGACCAAGATCCATCCACAGTTAGGTAGGAATGAGGAGCACACGGTACAAGAGATGTGAACAATAACAATATACTAAAATTTAAAAAAAGCTGTTGAATGTTGAAGCGAAACATCTCTTGGGGCCCATACCACACAATGAGAAACAAATACATAGTTGTGCTGATACTGTGGGTGAACTTGATATGAATAATAAAAGTCTAGACAGAGGAAGTCAACTGCCCGGGGCTCGCTCACAAACAGAAAATCCTGATTACAGTGGGTTAGAAATGACCCAGTGACTTCCCCTAAGAGCACAAGCCAGCGCCCTGCATCAGTCATGGTCTGGACGTTTTGATTTCTTTTACATGTTTTATTTTGATATATTGGTTCTCTTTTAGTGTTACTGTCTGTTCAATTGCCCTTCACGTAAGAATGTGTGTGTCCCTGTGTGTATTTAAACCCTGTGCTCCTCTCTTCTTCTTGTTGGTCCATTGTGTTTTTGTCCCTGTTTTGTTTTGGTCTTGGTTTGAGTTTGGAGAACTGTTATATCCTAGATCTGGTTATTGTTGTGTTTTTTTTTATTTAATCTTTATCTTTTGGACAGTCTTGCATTTTGAGTCTGTCCTGTTTTCACCATGAAACAGCATCCTCACCCAAAAGACAGACAACATTGTATATCTATTCAATTTCTTTGGACTCACTCTCGCTTCTCAGCAAGAAGATCCTGGGTTCGAATCCTGGTCGGAAACTCCATTCTGAGTGGAGTTTGCATGTTCTCCCCATGTATGCGTAGGTTTCCTCCAAGTGCTACGGTTTTCCCTACCACTAAAAACATGCTCAATAGGTATGAATGGAATAAAAAAGTGAATGGATGATGCGCCAGTGTGTTCTGCGTGAGAGATCGAGAAGAAACTAGTGAACTGAGAAGCAGGTATAAAACAAGCTTAGTTCTAATTCAAGATTTGTATTACGTTGACAACTGACTGAGTATTTATACCAAATATAATACATACTAGGGCTGGGCGATATAAACGGTATAAGCGGTATGCGATATAAATTTGGCCCACGGTAGAGATTTTTGTTATACCGGCATATTGCAATTAGAGCTGCAACTAAAGATTATTTTGTAATCGATTAATCCATCGATTATTTTTACAATTAATCGCGTAATCGCTTGGCTGTGAATTGTGTAGAAAAAAAATATTTTTTCATCACAAAAAGCTAAAGAGGCAACACTCGAGGACGTATTGATGCCGTAAACTTAAAGTAAATGTTTGTAACAGGCTCTTTGTGCTAATTCTGCTATCTGATTGGATGAGACAGACAGATATTCATGAAATTATAAAAACAAAGTCGGTTTTAATCAAAAATACTACATTTTCATGTCATTTTTGCTCTGTTTGAGTCTGTGTGAACCAGAAAACAATTAATCGATTACTAAAATAGTTGTCGACTATTTCAATAATCGATTAGTCATCGATTAATCGATTAGTTGTTTCAGCCCTAATTGCAATAGGTCATTATGTCATCAAATTGCGCAGGCTCTGACGCCCACAGAAAGGACCAAAACAAACCGGCATTCAGCAGCATTAGCCTAGCATTAGCCTAGCACTATTAGCCTAGCAGACACTACTGGAAACTGTCTATGTATTGTTGTCACAGCGGCCCCAGCAGAGGTAAATACACACACAGTATTCACAGTTTAAGCGTCTACCTTTTGGCCAATCAGTGTCAAAGGGGCGTAGGCTCGAAGCGCCAGTGTGAGCCAAAATAGATCCATGCGTGTGCCGTGTCCGCAGCATCACAGCAGAAGTTTGGGAAAGTTAGCATCAGATTCGGATCTCCGCGGTCAATATCTCACGAAAGCTACTTTGTTAAACAAAATTAATTGTGCCAAAATGATCATTTACATCAATTGTTCAAATCCAATGCACTGTTTTAATGAACATAAATCCATTGAATCATCCAGTTCAATGCAAGCGCAGAGAAAAGCGCTTAGGGAGCGTCAACAAATGTCAAGACCAGCTTTGTAAACGAACAATAGCTTTTACTGAAGTCATGTACCTGCACAAAACTCTCAGACACTATACATAATGACCATGTCTAACTGCTACAGACTTTGATATCAACATTTGTGAGTTTTTTATATTTTAAATGAATGCATATGTTTTTTTTTATTGCTTTTACAGTGAATGGTATTTACTGTAACATACATAAATAATGTATGTTACAACATTTGTCTCTTTATTCGTCTCACAACTGATTTTCTAACTCAAAAAATATATATATTAGATTCTAATATATAAATAAGTAACTATCTTTGAAATTCACACACCAAATTATACCGCAATATATACAGTCTACCGTCTGTGTCCCAAATTATACCGCATGAATTTTTTGCCCACCCCTAATACATACCAACAAAATTAACCAAATGTAAGACGCATTGATTTATTACTGAGAAAATTGACGATGTTGCGACACGCATTTCAAAAGAAGAAAATAAACAAAAATCTATAAAACATGTGACAGAATGTGTGTTGATATTTTAACATGTACAATATACTATGCAAGTACACAAATCAAGACAGAGAGGATACACACTACAGTATTTAAGCAAAACTAACTGGTCCTGTATGTGTGTGAGGGATTGTTGGTGGCAAATTGGCGGCCTTGCTTTCATCAGTCTGGCTCAGGGCAGCTGTGGCTACATTAGTATTTTACCACCGCTGTGTAGAAAGTGTTCAGAACAGCGCCATACAAGTACAATGCATTATTTATGAACACATTACCGGTATGATGCTGTATTGCGCATTATTGTGTTGAATTAGTCCTACAGTATCTCACACTCTTACCACCATTGACCAATCAGCAGTGTTTGTTGTGCAGTCTGATTATGTGGATAATAGGTGAGATCCTAAAGCTGGGGTACTTTTTGTTTCGTAAATTACATGTTTGTGCCAGCAGAAAAAAATCTTACAAAAGTACCTTGTGAACAAATCAGACCGTTTTCATCCTATTTAAGAACTATTTTCCATAAGAGCCCTGTGAGTCACTATTTGCTGCTTTGGGCTGCAAGCGGATTAGCTGTGTGAGGACCTATTTTTTTAACTTTCTGTCTGAGAAAGTTGAGCTATACCGATACAAAATGACAAATAGAGATAGAACCAAACTGGTGTCATGGGTTTTATTGGTTATTTTTTGTTGTTTTTTTGAAAAGTTACATATCGCAGCTTTAACGCTTTGGCTCAAATGCATGGGAAAAAGGATTCAAAATACGCATTCCCCAGGGTTATGTTTTCACACTAAAAACCATGGAATTGAATGAATGAAAGATGGACAATTCTATACCATTCGTGACTCGGCAATACTGAAAATGAGCCAAAAAATAACTAATTTTGAAGCACATATCACAATGTTATCTGCGTCACTGGTTTTATAACAGTGCAACAAAGCGCTCTTACCTGGACAGAGACACTGCTTATTTGAAAAACTCCCTCAGTGGACGACGTTGGCAGCAGGTTCTGTAGAGAAAGAAGAAGAAGAAGAAAGACTATTAAAACACTACCTCGTCAGCAGCATCGTCGTTATTCCATCCACGAGCCGGTATTCACCCCTCGCACTGCAGCACCCCGAGCCCCCTCCCCTCTCCCTCTCTCTATTTGGGAACAGCGGTGAGTGGTGGGGGTATTCCTTCCTCCGCATCCAAATTGAAACGGATAATCCCACAAAGAATTGGCGATGGCGCGCTCAATTTTTTTTTGTAAGAGAAGAAAAAAAAAGCTCTGAGGAGACTGATCCAGAGCGTGGAAAATGTGAGCGATGTGTGAGCGCTTTGACTGGGCTGGTCCCGAACTCGGAGTCATGGGCAGGCACGGGCGGCTGCGGTGGAGACAAAAGCACGAGGGGAGGGGAGGGGAGAGGAGAGGAGAGGAGATGAGGGGACAGGGGGGTGGGGAGAGAGGAGGGGGGCAGGGCTAGGGGGGGCAGACAGGAAACACTGCTGCAGAAGCCAGAGATGCTCTCGGCTTAAAAACTTATGAAAACTCAGCGACTACAATGACAAAAGGATATACACACAAATCCAAAATGTCTAACTCTATTTCGATACTAGAAAAATACTATTCCCATTTTGAAACCATGGAGATTTATACCAAAAACAATAAACTGACATTTTCAACTCAAATTACTGTTCTCTATATTTGTGTTTTGAACTGACTTGTATGTGTTGTATTATTCTCTGTATGTTTTTAAATTGTGAAGCGCTTTTTGATCCTGGGCTGTGAAAGGCGCAATATGAATAAACAACTATTTACTGTAATATTTTCTTTGACACAACACAGTATTGAAATTGATTATAAAAAATAACCTTTGTAGTAGTTACAATCATAGCAGCTCAATATTGTATAGATCTGCCCATTTGTCCAAATCAGCGGAGCCAAAATAGGTGAATCTTTAGCCAAAAACCAGGTGTACAAAATCCCTGCAGTATTCCATTGTCACAAAAGTGTGGTATTTAAATTGACAATAACCATATTCACAAATACAATGACAACAACTACAGAAGACAGAACTCTATTAAAGCTGGGAGAAAATAAAATCACCATTTGGAAATTAAATCTGGGAAAAACTAATACAATTCATACAACCAGTTCTTGTCCGCATTATTTTACTTTCACAAGACTCTTTCTGTTGGGACAAACAACACGGTGCTGAGTTCTCAACAGAACATCCATACAGAGTGGGTAATATTCCTATGTACACTGAATCTTTCCAACGTTGAGCTAGTGAGAAATGTCGAGAGCATGGAGCCGACGTGCGATCTGTACGATGTGGGCAAATTTCGCGTCCATCTGCCAGACGAGACAGGGCAGGCTGCTTTATGAAGTGCCCAGTCACAGGCGCATGTTTTCAGGCATATGCTGAGACCTACCATTACTGTAATTTGGAATTTGTCTCTCAGTCGTACAAGAATGTCACTGTATCTACTTATTATCCTGTATATCACTTTGCACTATAAATATAGATTTTTTTGAAAGATTGATATTGAAGCATTTCCAGCTTGCTAAGAAACATAGCAGCTACTGATTATGTACATTTTGTGTGCTCCCTGTGTGCTCTTGTCAGGACGGACAGGAAGCAGCTTTAAGGTTACAGGCATAGGATCTCTGCAGGGCTGTGTTCTTTCTCCCCTGATCTTCTCCCTATACACCAACCACCACTAAGATGATCGAGTTTGCGGACCACAGTGATAACAACCTGGTGCTGAACGCGCGGAAGACAGAGGAGATGATTGTTGTCTAGTTTAAAACCGGCCTGGCAGGAAGTGAAAAAGCCTCCTCAAAGCGCCATCGTTCAGCAGCGTGGTCTTCACCGCCGTTAGTTCATAATCATTTGATCCTAAATATATCCCTACTTCCATTATTGTAAGTGAATACAATAATAACTTTTTATTTGTAAATTTCTCCATTGTGAGATCAATCAAATCTTGTGCAGCTCTATTATATGAATCAGAATCAATAAATCTCTGTCTTTTTAAAGTTAATTTAAAAGCAAATTGTTTTGAAGCTAGGTGATACTAAGTGCTAATGTTGTTATTCCATGAGCCGCTCTGTAACACCTGCTGGTCAGAGGTCAGCAGAGGCACTAGACACAAGCAGCTAATCCTCTCAGAGCTGAAAGAGGAGCTGAGGACCACGTGGACCGGGTCTGAGGAGGAGATGAGGACCACATGGACCGGGTCTGAAGAGGAGATGAGGACCAGATGGACCGGGTCTGAAGAAGAGCTGAGGACCACATGGACCGGGTCTGAAGAAGAGCTGAGGACCACATGGACCGGGTCTGAAGAGGAGATGAGGACCACATGGATCGGGTCTGAAGAGAGATGAGGACCAGATGGATCGGGTCTGAAGAAGAGCTGAGGACCACATGGACCGGGTCTGAAGAAGCGCTGAGGACCACATGGACCGGGTCTGAAGAAGAGCTGAGGACCACATGGACAGGGTCTGAAGAGGAGCTGTGGACAACGTGGACCAGTCTGAAGAGCAGCTGAGGACAACGTGGACCAGGTCTGAAGAGCAGCTGAGGACAACGTGGACCGGGTCTGAAGAAGAGCTAAGGACAACGTGGACCGGGTCTGAAGAGGAGCTGAGGACCACGTGGACCGGGTCTGAAGAGGAGCTAAGGACAATGTGGACCGGGTCTGAGGAGGAGCTAAGGACAACGTGGACCGGGTCTGAAGAGGAGCTAAGGACAATGTGGACCGGGTCTGAGGAGGAGCTAAGGACAGCGTGGACCGGGTCTGAGGAGGAGCTAAGGACAACGTGGACCGGGTCTGAAGAGCAGCTGAGGACAATGTGGACCGGGTCTGAAGTGGAGCTAAGGACCGGGTGAGCTTTTCATAATACTAGTAGCACATGCATCACAGCCAGCACTTTACTGCACTGGAGCGGTTAGCAGTGCTTCTAAAATCAACAATGAAGACAGCATTTCTTTTACAAGACTTTTTCTGCGACAAACAATGTGTTATTTATGCTAAAAAGTTAGGTATCCAAACTTTAATTTTACATAACATTGCAATATATATAAAGATTGAGATATATTGATATTTAAACATTTATAGCTAGGTTAGAAAAATAGCAGCTACTTATATTGTATATCTTGTGTACTCCCTGCAAGAGCCTAGAGTCAGAACTTCACATGGGGAGGCTGCATTTCAGATTCATGCTTTTAAAATCTGGAACTATATTCCTGAAAATGTGAGACAGGCTTCTTCTCTGACAATGTTTAAATCCAGGATAAAAACAGTTCTGTTTAGCTGCCTGCACAAATGAGGGATTTTATATTTCTATCTTTCTTTTTGATGTACTGTGATTATTTATGCCTTCCATGTGTGACTGTTTCTATCTTTTTTTTTTCAGCAGATAGAGTTGCCTTGTGTATGAATTGTGCTATACATATAAACTTACCCTGCCTCCATGTGTTAAACTTGCTACTGTTCTCTTACTAACTGTGGGATCTTTTATCTCTTATCTTTTCTTTAACTCTGACTATGTAACACCAAAGAAGGACGATATGGCCCCTGTGTATAAACTGAGAAAGGCAAGTGAAGGATAAATCGTCAAAATTCACCGAAAAAAACTTTCAAAGACACAAATCTCCCACATAAAGCTCCTCTGTCTGTCACTCTGCACAGGAAATGCCACTATTATAAAATGTCAAATGGACCAAATATAGATCAGGAAGTGTGCATTTATAGATATGTTTTTCTTTTTTTTTATATGGACTCCATTCACAGCATTCGTGCAGAAGCAAAGCTAATTTAGACCAACGTGTGCCAGAGAAACCACAGGGCCCGACGCCAACTCTGAACCCGGACCATGGGCTACTGTAAAAAGAGCGTTACAACATGGAAACGAAAAAAATCACCAGTGAGAGAGAACATTGCTGCTTCTGTTGCCTGAAAAAAGGTAAAAAATACATATAGAGCCCGAAGCGGGAATCTGGGAGGGAGGAAGTCAAAGTGTCAGTCTAAGTTTGAGAGAATGCAAGGTTACGGGGAACGGACGCAGCATAGAAATGTCAAATCGTATTGATATTTGAAATACACATAAAGGTTAAAAGACAAAAAGATGGATGATGTCATTTCAACTGGAACATTCAACCTGAGGAAGGCATTCTTGAGGTATTGGTCATTCAAGAAAGAAATCGGTGGCTACTGTGAAATACCACTGTGAGTATAATATAAATGTTGTTTACAATCAAGCAGATTGTCCAATCCGAGAGCAGAATGAGGCTGTCCTTGGGTTGCCAGTTTGAAATGTAGCTGGCTACATTTGCAATACACATTTTATGAAACGACGCACAACAAATAAGTAGTCAGTAATATACAACGTTTGTACTGTTTCCAGCTAGCCCCAGCAGGTGGATTGCATCAGTAATCAATGTTTAAGATTGTGGCTACAAGAGTGTACTTGTAATAACTTTACTTAGCCTTTAGTATTTATGTTTTGCTCCATTTTTTAAAGGTGATGAAACAAATCCAGCAAGTACAACAGTAATAAATTCCATGAAAAAGGAACAGGAGTAGGATGAAAAAAAAGATAAATTAAAATATGTTAAAAAATATTTACATTGTACTTATAAATATAAATTAGACCACTGATTGTGCATACTAAGGGCACGTACAATCCCTTTGAACAACCAAGCCTAAGCTGAACCCATGAAACCACACCTGCTCCTCCTCCATTATTTCTATATTTGTAAATTTTAGCTCCTACAGTTATAAGAAATGTGCACTTAGTCTTCTTTAACTTTAGATGTTGTTTTTCGGGAAGCACTTTTTGGCACAAGTGTCTACAGAAAACAGATTCTTCCTTAAGACGGACATGCCGACACCACTCTCCATGGACCATCACTGCTGTGTGCCTTCAGCTCCAGATGTGAGAGACGCAGATGTTTGAGGGAAGTGAGAGACCTTTGTATCTTTATATCAATTTTTCCGACAGAAAGGTCAAAAAGAGAGAAGCCTCACCCTCACTAAGATAAGATAAGATAAGATATTCTTAATTTATCTCACAAGGAGGAGAAATTTACATGTCACATTTGGCATGGAAAGAAACACTCAGATTGTGCAAAAAAGGGAGAAAATGTGCAAACATGTTAAATGCAGGATATATTATCTACAATAAAAACGTGGCAGTTTAAAAGTGGCCATTTAAAAGTGGCAATCAGAAATAGTGTCAATATTAGTGCAAGCCAATCAGCTCCCAAAGTGTCAAATAGTGACTCGCAAAGTTACAAAACAGTAAGCAAAAAAAAGTTTTCTTATGAGATTTAAAAGGTATATAGGAGGATTTTCTACTTCCGGATGGATCATCAAGACTATCGGTCCTCTTAATTGTCAATCATTGTGGTGATATGTGCTCGTCAAAAAAGAATTTGGGAAAATCCTCATATACCTTTAGGACAGGATCTTGTTCACAACAATTTACTTATACTCTTTGCTGGAACAAAAATGTGTAATTTATGAAACAAAAACAGATAGGTAGCCTGACTTTAATATAAATATAATCCTGCCCCAATATTGATCTAAAATGGCTTAGCAACTTTGCAATATCAGGGTTCAATGACTTCCTGTTCCAAAGTGATAAGCCCCTCCCCTTCATTCTGTAGTCCACGTCTGGAACTTGTTTGGTGCTATAGTCTTGGATCATTCCAGATTTTGTTTTTCTATTGTTCTTTTTTCACAAAACCACATAATTTTTTCCCTTTTCCATTGAGAGAAAGCCCTCTTTGATGCATGTACAGCCAGAATGCACACAAAGTAAACTATAGCTTTCTAAAGTCAAAGCAAACACGCACAAATAAACAGGCCGGTCCTCATCTGCGAGTGTCGGAACCTGATTTTGTCACTGAGGCGTGTCGCGGGGAGACCGCCTCGTCAGACTCGCTTCTAAAACAGAAACAGAGCAGCAGCGATCCTCTATTCTGGTCCTTTCTCTGCTCCTTACTCCTCCTCCTCCCACAATAAACAGTGAGTCATGAAGAAGATAGACTTTCTGCTGTGGAGGAGAAACAACACCCTAGAAACAGTAAGTATTTTTGAGACATTAAAGCTGGGGTACCTCACTTTAGAGTCCTGTGTTTGTATACTAAAGTGAGTTTTTTTTCGGCTGAGTGAGGGTGGTCCTAGCATGGCCTTAGCCATTCGTACACTCAATTGACCGTACTCGGTCAATCATCATTTCCTGCATGTAACGTCTGGGTCTGGTCCCCGTGTTTGCGATTACATCAGTTGAATTCCATCCGACAAATCAGCAAGAAAAGGGAGGCGGGTGTTGTAGTTAGTTGTGGGTGACGTCAAGAGTTTGCGCCGGGCAGGTTGTAGTTTGGCAATGGTGAAGAAAGCGATAGTTAAGTATTCTGGTATGGTTCTATCAAGAAATTGAAGCTGGACCAAGAGGAATGTTTAGCAAAAGTCATTGCTGGCAAAGATTGTGGCGCTACTCCCCACCGGCTCCGTTAGCCGCAAAGGAGATGGCTAAAGCTAGGCTAAATGCTAATTACTCACTCAGGCGCATTGCATAAATCACAGTAAACTCAGATCCAATCGTTTCAATCTGCAAAAGGAGTTAACCCCTCCCACCTGTAAACGAAACTCAATGGAGCACCTCCAGACCTTAGTACGAAATGTAATTTGAACTATGGTGTGGTATGACCAGGCTAGGGAGGTCCTGTCTTTTTCACTTGTCTGTCTGGAAAAGCTGATTTGAAGATGTGACAAAAAATACATGCTTTTAAAACAGTGAGGGACAGGGATTTCATTAAATATCCTATACGGTTTGAAAGTTAGGTGCCCTTGCTTTAAAGTAGAGCAATCTTACAAACGTGTTACGTGATCCAATGACGACTGCAGATTCCATGCACTTAGAAATGTTTTGCACAAAAACCAACACAAATCCTAATGGAATCAACAATATGTAATGGGAAAAATAATAGCTACAAACAGCATTAGGATGATTGTGCATGAAAAAAATGGAAGATGTTGAAATTGGGCCGTCAATAACTTTGGAATTCTTACAAAAGTGATCAGCAGTGGGTCTCCAAACCATGCAACTAAATATTGAGGATTAATAAAAATGACTCATTACTTCTCCACAGTAAGGCTGCGAACCAGAAGGTGAATCAAAACATAAAAAAAGAAATAATTAAAAACGTCAAGTACTTGTAAGTGTTCTGTCTGTAAATTATGTTTTTTTGTCTTACCCAGCTTCTATAACTTGTCCCGCCTGCAAGTATTGTGTGTAGTGTATTTTGTTTACTTGTGTGTTACGTTATATTGTGAGTGTATGTTTTGTGATGGTGTTGTCTGAAATCAAAAAAAAAAAACACAAAAAAACCCCAAAAAAAACCAGATGTATCTATTGCCATCCATGTCCACGCAGGCATCGATGTTTATTCCTGTCGACTCAGCAGATATCATACTTTCAGTTGTCAGTGGTTGCGGTGCAGTAATTACCACTCAGCAACACTCCCGCTCTGGAACAACAAACTCCTTCTACCGCACAAGACTGCACTGTCCTCTTCAGAGCAACTGATGTTAACATTTGTAAAGTGGATCTTTCAAAGGGAGGAAATTATAGCATTTAAAACAACAAACATGTAACATACTAAGTCATCCTCTTGTTACATGGAAGGCAGTTAACCCTTTAATGTTCGCACAAATACACTGCTTTCTGAGATGTAGGAGCACTAATAACACACATAATATGATTGGTAACACTTTAGACCACACTTTTAACCACAACCCCAACCCTAACCCACATGGGAAAGTGTCCGTTAGTAGTTAGCTAGCTGTTTAATAAG